CCCTGAAAGGTGGAGGGAAATTATAATTAATATTTCTGGGTTTTCTAGCTGGCTTTGAGGAAAAGGGAATCTGGTTTCTGTGACCTGCCTTGAGGAAGAAGGATTCCAATTTCTATGGCAAGCCTTGGAGGAGAATGGGACTGAGACATGAAGGCAGGAAAACATCAAAGAAAACTTTTGCTTCTGAGGCCTTCATTAGGGGTATTGTTTCCTGAGCTCCGAGAGGTCCAAGGGATGAGGGAGAGTACCCAGGGAAGAATAAATTCAGAAAGGTACCCTGATCCCTGGAGCTAAGGTCCAGACTTTGCAGAAAGTGTAGTCTAGTTGCAGCCCAATGGATGGCAAAAAAGTTTGTTAGTTTGCCTGATCCAAAGCTGATTTGCAGTCATTGAGCAAACACGAAGCAATTCTCCAGAGGGCAGGTGAGACACAGTCAGGACACAGACAGGCCCCAGCCACGTACGGATGCATAGGCATGCAGAGGGAGTGGGGTCCCCAGTGGTAATGCTTTACCACACAGGCAGGGTTACAGCCAATGGCCAAGTACATTGGTCATGCAGAGGGACTGGGAGTGACAGTGGGGCAGAAGGCCATGTTTCTGTCAGGGAAATTGGGTGTAAGGAAGGCTTGGAAGCAGAGGGAGTCTGGACACCAGAGTCTGAGAGCATACTGTGTCCATGTTGGGACAGCAACAGGAAAGTGATGGCCAGAGCAAGCTGGAGCTGTGAGGGCATCAGAAACCACACATTGTAGGTCTGTGGCTGTAACAGTGTACCACCAGATACTCTCACAACCACATTGCTAACTCACAGCAAACTGGAAACAGCAGGAAACCCTTCTACTTGCAATGTAGCTATAGCATCTTCTATAGAGGAAGCTTGATATGTGTTTACTGTAAAGGAAAAATGCCTAAAGAAACTCTGCCCTGTTATCCCAAGTATGTATTGAAGGTGAATTTGAAACCAAGAGGCAATACACTGATAGCCAGCACGGTCCATCCCCTTATTTGCTCAGTTTTCATATGCACCCCTTGACACACATCTGAATGATATTGCAGCAGCAAAACAACTTTATATTTTTACCGAACACGATATACCAATCCTTGTTGTAAGTGAAGTTCTTACTCTTACCCCAAATTAGATGACCCAGATTCCCAAGTTATTGTACTCATCATAGGCTCTATTAAATATTCTTCAAATTCAATCAGACTTCCATTGAATATTCTGTTACCTAAAGACAAGTAAAGTTAATCTCTCATAAAGTTGTGCACAAAATTAAAAACAGGAACTAGGATAGAAAATAAAAAGAGAACAGTGGGTATATGCAAATAAGTATGTGCATATAATAAACAGAGAAATATGCAAAGCCAACTATAGTCTTTGTTTCTACAGTTGGCCTCAAGGTCTGGTCTCTTCAATTACCCATTATAATTTTCTCTCACCCTCAGTTAAAACATTAAAGCTTTACTTTAGTTTTTTACCTGGTGAAGCAATCCAGACTTTCATTCCCCAAAGCAGAATCCTGAACCACCCTTCTTTTTTTGTTGGGGTGGTTTTCCATTAAGTTATACTCTCCAGCATGTACAGTATGCAGAGTAACGATATTGCAAAGATGTTCATTGACAACTTAGTCCTTGGAAACTGTATGTTGTGCTACAAAACAGATGGGAATTAAGATTGCTGATTTAGGCTAGGCTCTGTGACTCATGCCTGTAATCCAGCACTTTAGGAGGCCAAGGCAACAGGATCATTTGAGGCCAGGAGTTTGAAGCCAGCCTGAGCAATATAGTGAGACCCTTGTCCCTAAAACAGTAAAAATAAAAATTAGCTGGACTCTGTGGTGTGCACCTGTGGTCCCAGCTACGGATCACTTGAGCACAGGAGTTCAAAGTTACAGTGAGCTATGATTGTACCACTGTACTCCAGCAAGGGTGACAGAGCAAGACCCTGTCTCCAAAAAAAATTAAAAATTACTGACTTAAAACTGGAAGATCATCCTGAATTATCTTAGTGGGTCCAGTCTAATCACAATGGGTCTTAAAAGTAAAAAAGGAAGGCAGAAAAGGGAAAACCAGAGATGGCAGTGTGAGGACTCTACCCAACACTGCTGACTTTGAAGATGGAGGGACGATGAAGTCATGAACCAAGGAATGCAGGTTGCCTCTAAATAGTTGGAAAATGCAAGGAAAACAGATTATGCCCTTAGAACATCCAGAGGGATCACAGTGCTGTTGACACCTTGGTTTTAGCCCATGATACCCATCTTGGACTCGAGCTAAAAAAATGATAGCAAAATTGTATTGATCTAAGCTATTAAGTTTGTGGTAATATGTTACAGAAGCAATAGGAAATGAACACACTGTCAAATTTTTTTATCTCCATAGATTACCTGGAAACTTGATCTATAAATTAGAAAACAAATTTATATCCATAATATTTGCCACTGAGTCACTGAAAAACTTTTAGCCTTTTATTTGAAATAGTAACATACAGACAGTAAACAACCACTGATTGTGTACTCAGAATTTTCTCTCAAAGGGCAATGATGAATTTCACCCATTATTCTCCCTGTCATGGATATCCCTATCATTTTCTTCACTTTTCAATTTGTCCTGCATTTGGAAGTGCTACGTGTTGAAGAACTGCATGTCTGGGATATATACTCTATACTAAAAAAAATGTAAATATGTAAACTATGGGCATCTTCATACTTCCTTTTTTTTTTTGGGTCGGAGTCTCACTCTGTCGCCCAAGCTGGAGTGCAGTGGCACGCTCATAGCCACCTCAGCGTTGACTTGCTGGGCTCTGGCGATCCATCCACCTCAGCCTTCCAAGTAGCTGGAACTACAAGCATGTGCTACCATGCCTAGGTAATTTTTAAAAAATTTATTGTAGAGATGAAGTCTCACCAAGTTGCCCGGGCTGGTCTCGAACCCACAGGCTCAGGTAATCCACTTGCCTCAGCCTCCCAAAGTACTGGGATTACAGGTTGAGCCACCAGGCCTGGCCCACACTTCTTTTCAAAACAAAACTTTACATCATTCTTACCAAAACTCCCACTCTGATGCTTATGTAACTGAGCTCAGCATAAACTATTCTAGAGAGGCCAATAGCCTGAAATTTAGAAACCAAACTGTCACTTCCCTCCTTTAAAGGCAACTCCAGTCTTATCTTTCAGCGCTTCAGCTGCTGAAGTACCTCAGAAGTGAAACAATTGTTGTCTGTAATACCTTCTTTGATTAGAGCGATGAATTCAATCTAGGATACCCCTTCTGATCTGGGACACTAATTCAATCTAGGACATCACCTTAGCAATCTTTAGGTCCTATTAAGACCTCCTCCTAGATATACTGTGTTCTGAATCATAGAATCTCAAGCTTTGGAATCTGATTTTCCCCTTAGGGAGCATTATCTAACTTCCCCACACCATTAAACTCCAATTGACCTCTTTAAATGTCCCTAGAATAAAGAGCATCAACAAGCTCTTGGGTTAATACAATTGTACTAAGACTATACCCTGTATACAAGGGGGACACTCATGTTGGTAAAGGTGTGACTGAAAATTCCTTCCTTCTGTATGATGTGAGGACATTTTTTTTTTTTTTTTGAGTTATAGTTTAACTCTGTTGCCCAGGCTGGAGTGCAGTGGCATGCTCAGGTTCATCACAGCTTGGATCTGCTGGGCTCAGGCGATCCTTCTGCCTCAGCCTTCCCCGTAGCTGGAACTGCAGGCATGCGCCACCACACCCAGCTAATCTTTTGATTTATTGTAGAGATGACATCTCACCAAGTTACCCAGGCTGGTCTCGAACTCCTGGGCTCAGGCAATTCTCTCGCCTTGGCCTCCCAAAGTGCTGGGATTACATGCTGAGCCACCGCGCTTGGCCAAGAAAACTTCTTAATACAAGTCATTCGTTCATAACAATGGTACAAGGCACTACAGGATTCACTGCCTCAAAGGCAGGAAAAGGCCATGCTATAGAGATGGCACATGCTTGATTTCAGAATTAATAAATTCCTGGAGCTTCAATGGAATATGACCACTCCAAGATCCATGCAGTTTTTCCCAGAAGCAGATCATTTCCTTGTAAAAAAAAAAAAAATCTGTGGATCTTTTTTTCATGTATTAACAAATCAGTAACAAGCAAGACTTTCAAATCCTACAAGTTCATTTTAAAGCATGTGTAGTTTACCCATTGAAGGAAGAAGACCACCATGCTATAAGGTATAGAGATGGGAAAAAACAGTCTAGAATTAGTCTTGTATGTACTATTGAATGCAGAGAATTGTTTGCTGTTTCGCAGATGAAGTCCTGGTAAACACATCTCCTTTGAGGCAATGCAAGTTCCCCTCTGAGAAGACCAAGATGACAAGGTGAGCTCACACTACCTAGGGTCAACAGCTTGCCAGTAGGCAAATTAAAAACGTGGGCCAATTTCTTGAGGGCAAAGCAACTTCTCCATCCTCAAGGCCTGAAAGTATGCACCCCCTTTGGTATTCAGAAAGGAGTTTAAGCAGTCAGTTCAGAGATTCCACCTTGTGTGCAGTCTCACCTGTATATGCTCAAGAAGATTCAAAAGTTATCAATCTCATTTAATGTTTATCGCCAGGATCCCAGCTACTATTTTTCCCCCACCAAATTGCTGAGCGTGATCAGCAGAAGTAATTTTTATTTATGAGTTTTGCTTTTAACAACTTCACAAAGGTAAGGTATACATGAATATAAGAAACACAAACAATCAAAACCTTTTGCAAAATAAAGAATTTAAATGTACAATAGCAAAATACACCAAGATACTCCTTGCATTACAATAGTGGTTCTCAAATTTTATCAAACATCAGAATTTTTGTTTGAACTTTGGTTTAGGCTAATCATCCCTTCATTTCTGAATAGAGTTTAGAGTTTTCCTTCTATGGAGGAGGTGGTAGTGAGTGAGGCAATCAAGCAGATCTGTGCAATAAATAGTATGCTCCTCTTACTCCTTCTGAGAGGTCTTCTCTTCAAAGCTGGGAGTTGTCTTCTTTTTTTAACAGCTCTTCAAAGATCTCATTATGCATGTAAAAGAAGATATACCCAGTGCAAAGCCTAGCCTCCAGCATCGCCTCCTCTTGGATATTTGACACCTGCATATCATTGTAAGTGAACCAGGTCTGCTTCTCAAAGTTGTAGGCATCGCTGATATAATGGCCTGAATATGGGGTATTCCCAAGATGGCTGACAACACCAATGATCTGATAGGTATGAAGATGCTCCTTTTCAACATTTCCTTTTGGTTTCTTGGTTTTAGATTTCATCTTATCTAAAATGTCTTTGTTTCCAGGGTTCTTACTGGAACCCAATGAACACAGAGGATTCCTGTTAGCCTCCTGAACATTTAATTTTGTAGATCTTCTGAAGTTCTCTGTGTGCCCCTGGGCATCTGGCTTTGGAAAGCTTTGAGACGGTGCCTGGTGAGGGGCTTGTTCGTAGATTCTCATACCATCACACTGCTGAGTCTGTTCAGCCCCTTTTTGGAATACTTCTGGAATTCTACAATTTTTATCTTTAGGAAAATCTTCAGTATGCTCAGTGACCGTATCAAAATCTACAAATATATTGCTTTTCACATATTTCTCTATTCTTGGACTTTCAGGCATTTCTTGAAGATGAACTTCTGAAAGACATGTGTCACTTTCAGGCATTTCTTGAAGATGAACTTCTGAAAGACATGTGTCACTTTCAGGCATTTCTTGAAGATGAACTTCTGAAAAACATGTGTCTGAACTGCTGGTGGGTTTACCTCCATCTTTGTGAATCAGAGACAGAGAGGTGTCTTCCAGATACGTCACTGAGGGAGCTGAGAGCTCTTTTTCAGTGAGTGCTCCATCTCCTGGCTCTATTTTATTTAGTTTAGAATTTATTTCCAGGTATTTTTGCTGTTGTTCTCTGCTTGCCCCCTTAAAGACTTTTTGGCATTTTTGTTTTTCAGACTCCCTGTTCAATCCAATGTGTAGACCCAAGGAATCCTTGGTTGAAGGTATTGATGAGCTGATGGTTTCAGAAATAATCTCCTGAATATGTTTTAATAATTGGAAATCCCTAGTCTGGGCATTGATGCTCAAGGGAAGAGGTGGTTTTGTGCTTTCATTGCAATGAGAAGACACATTTAAATATTTGGAAATAATGACTTCCTGGTCATCCTTCCTTAATGACCAAAATTCATTAAACATATAGCGTTTCAGATGAACAATCAGGACTCTAGGTAGCCTACTGAATTTGGACACTGTAAAAGAATACTTGTGCTTACACATTTCACACTTATACTCAAGATGTTCTGTTTTAAAGAAATGATCAAAAGTAGATTGAATAGACAGAGGAAGTTCTTCCATTCCACGTGGAAGATTGATGGAGAGAAAATTATTTGGCTCTGTCTTGAAAACAACCTGACCACAAGCTTTACAAGTAATAGAGCATAGTAACTCAGACTCAAAATTAGTGATGACAGGACAAAAGAATCTTTTGGTGGCAGCATCACAAACAAACACCTGTTGAGGTGAATTTTCTTCCCCAGATTCACTTTTAGTCTTCCAAATTGTGTTTAATTTTTTCATGTTATCTTTCAGTTGATCTAAACATTCACCTAAAAACTCATGAGCATCATTCTGTTTGTCGTCAGAGAATATCTCTGCGACTGCTGAAATGGATTTTTTAATATTCACAAGTAACTTCTTCTTGATTCTTATGTTATAAATATCTTTCAAAACAAGCAGCTGTGCCAAGCACATAGCAACAGCATCAAAGGGAATTTCAGCCCATGGGAAATCCTGATTAAGTAAATCAGCAGCAAATGATGGAATAGAAAATAAAGACTGTAAAACTGCATTCATATAACAAGTGTTTCCCAGATTGGGGAAGCCTTTCCATGGTTTTCCTGGGTCAACGAAAAATGATAACATGAATTCTTCCCAGTCTTTGTCATCTTCAGTATACTTTGATTCTAACAGAAATGTCACAAGTATTTTCTTAATGAGAGTTTGGAGAAGACCAGTGCCATCTAGGTAAGGATTCCCAGTAGATTTGGTCATAAATGAAGATCCAAATTCCAATTTCTTATTCTCTTCTAACTCTTTTAACTTCCATTTTTTCTTCCATTTGTGGCTTATATACCTCAAGGCATTTGCTTTGTATTTCATGTTTTCTGTGAAGTATTTTTCTTTCTGGGAATTCTCATTCATCTCTGAACTAGACAATAGCATTCTTTTCCTCTTCCCATGTCTATTTTCTGATAACTCTCTGCAAATATGTGTTGATAATTCTGAGGTATGCAAAAGCATCTTATAAAGAGCAGCTGTTGTACTACTTCCTTTTGGTGTCTCAAAAGATCCTCTACTTGATTTCCCACAGTCTTCGTGATATGAAGTTTTATTGATTTCCTTCTGTGTTGCTGTGTTAGCAAAGACATCCCCATCCTTATCAGGTCTCATGAGTGGTGGAAGCTTGTTTTGATGGACTTTATCCAGGAATATCTTCAACTGTTCAGCATCATGGGAGGATAATCTTTCAATACACAATAAGCTATTATTTTGGAAAGTTAAATGCAGGCTATTTTCATTTTCTCCATAGGATCTAAGGGCCACACTTTTAATGTTATCATTTAGCTGAAAAGCTTTATATTGTCCAATCCTGAAAAAGAGTCCCAGTTCAACTATCTTATCTCCTTCTACCATTTCAATGAGTGCTTCTTTTGACTCAGACATCCCAGTCTTCAAGCTCCATATTTGGACAAAGCCATGTGCCAATAGGGTAACCATGCTTTCTTTACAAATAAAATACACAAATCCTAGGTTGTTGATATTCTTGAAGTTCCACTTTGTTTTGCAACTTCACCTGTGGAGACAACACCAAACAAATGGTTCTTTATTCTCTATACAGAATGATCTTGTTTTTAGCATTAGTTTTATACTAGAGTCTAATTCAGGTTGTAGATATCCAGCTCTTTAGTGGTGAGACCAATGCCTTTGACAGCCTCCCAAGGTTACATGAAGGCAGTCTTGATTCCTAAGGCAAGACAACGATGAACAAAAACCAAGAAAAGTTATTTTAAACTATTACAGAAATGCTGGGCTTGAGTAAAACTCAAACTCTATGCCTATACACTAAATCTAATTTCCACCATAATAATGGAGTCCATCTGATTATTTTCCCTACTTCAACTGAAATCATAAAACACTTGGAAGACTTTTAGTACATAACTGAAAAGTATACTTAACAGAGTCTCAATTGTATGCATACAATATGCTAATCTTCCTGTCACAACATTATCCCACAGAGCAACCACAATAAGTGAATAAGAAAGTGGAGGTACCACATGGCCTGCCAAACCCAGAAACAGATGAATTAACTTGATGTCTAGAAGATTTTATACATAGGCCACTCAAAGTAAATCAACCTCCTTCCAAAGTCAGTTATGTTCCTATACTTCACTTGGCACTGAGGAACATCAATGCATTCTATCTTCCATTGACAAAAGTTTAAGTATAAGAATAACAACCTCTAACTCATCATATATAGGCTACCCAAGCTCCTGCACCCAACTCTGGTGATAGCATTCACTTAGCCTGAGGTTGCTCCCTGTGTTCAAAATCAGTGAGGAAGAATCAAATATACTTAATCACTGAAAATCAGAAATTTCTAAATAACTCTTGGGCCAATCTGAATTAATGAATATGTTAGCAGATAGCACTACATATGTTCCTATAAGAAAGTATATGTCCAAAAATTGATTAGAGTTGTTTTCCACTAAATAGTTACATATTCTTCCTAAATCTTGTCTATGCTATTTACTTGCTTGGCAAACTCTATCTTTAAGACTAATACTAAAGAAAACTTTTGCTCAGTTCCTGTTAAAATTATCAAAAACTCAAAATTGGTGAAGCTTAAATCAATGGTATTTTCGTTTTATAAAGTATTTCATCTATGAGCCTATGTTCAGTAAAGTAGGTTCGGCACCCATCCCTACACAAAAATGCATATGTCTCCAAATAAGGCGATTATATTTATCATGGCAGAAAGAAGGCCATAAAAACATTCAAGCATAGCAGCAAATTCAAGTTCTTTGGATTATTTATAGTTCACTGTCCTATTGTAGATGCTAAGTAAGGATTAGAAAACGATCTCCTCTCCACAAAAAGACAAAGTCTTAATTTTTTTTTTCAAGTTGAAAGAACCTGCAATCCCAGAACTTTCAGTCAACATTTAAACATTTTGCCACCCCGGGTCATTTGTATTTATCAAGAATTGTTGTCTCTCTCTCTTTCTAACAAAAGCTGAAATAATCTAAGACCCTCTTAACCTTTCCTCTCTCTGCCCTCAAAAATAGTTAAGAGATATGTATTTACAAAGTGATGTCTCCATTCACCATTGTTTCTTCATAGTCCAACCTGCTTATATTTTATTCCACAATAAAGGAGACTTATCTTGCTGATGTATAGCTAAGGGGTCTAACCACTGACTACTTTCTTAGCACATCTTAAGCTTAAAACTCCTTCATTTTGCCTCATCATTCAAGGCTTTTGAAGCCTTCTCTGAGTACTTGTTTTTAGAAAGTTTTTAAACTAAAATATATTGCTTCCCCCAAGACTCCACTGAAGAGCACTATGTGACTATTCTATGCAGCCCAAATAAACTTCAATAGTAGTGACATTCCTCTCTTGAATCCACACCAGATTCAAAACATATAGACGGCAGCTATATTCAAAAGTTTTTAAGGCCAATGTGCCTTTCTCTCATTGTACCTATAAACTCAATCCATTAATTTGACTGACAAACTACCAGTGCAATACGCTGGACTAGTTGCTGATCTCAAAGCACAGCCAGACAGTCACAAAATTGAACTAATTCTGTCAGATGCGGAGGCATGACCAATGGTGCCACGAAGCTGGCTGTAGGGTTAAAATAAACCCTAGTAGAAATCTGTCTGCTTTGTTGTTAACTCACTAATTCATTCTACATTGATCTCTCCCTGGTCACTGAATATTTGCTGAGCATCTGCTCTAAGCTACCTGTCTATTATGACTTGCTGAGGGTCTGCTCAACATTGAGAGCCAGTGTTCTAAGGAACACAAAGAGCATGCACATTCACTGTACCTAAATGATTAAGATCCAAAATGCCACTGTGTAAATGTCACAAGAGAAGAGGGGTTCGCTTCTGAGAAAATATCCTCTCACTGACATTTTCTGGGACTTGACACACACCCAGGGTGAGAGTAGTGTTTTGCAAATGAGAGAGAATCTCCTGAAATTAGATCTCCCAAGTCCTACTTCACCTCTACAAAATGCCTGACTTAGCCTCTTCCTTTGTAGAGCAAGTAAGAAAACTTAGTTGGGGAGAGTCTGTACTGGGGAGAACTTATTAAGATATAGTAGTCCCCCTTTATACAAAGTTTCACTTTCCTCAGTTTTAGTTACCCACAGTCAACCATGATCTAAAAATATTAAATGAAATATTCCGGAAATAAGCTATTCATAAGTTTTACATTGTGCACTGTGCTAAGCAGCAGGATAAAATCTCTCATCATTCCACTCCATTCTGCTTGGAATGTGAATCATCCCTTTGTTCAGTGTATCCACGCTGTCTACACTATCTGCCCATTAGTCACTAAGTGGCCATCTTGCTTATTAGAGCTATTGTTGCAAAGTACTTGTGTTCAAGTAACCCTTATTCTCCTTAATAATGGCCCCAAAGTGCAAGAGTAGTAATTTGGATATGCCCTCAAGAAAACCATGAAGTGCTTCCTTTAAGTAAAAAGGTGAAATTTCTTGATTTTAATAAGGAAATTAAAACATTGTATGCTGAGATTACTAAGATCTACGATAAAAATGAATCGTCTATCTGTGGAATTGGGAAGAAAAAATAGAAATTCATGCCAGTTTTGCTGCCACACTTCAAACTACTAAAGTTACAAGCACAGTGCATTGTAAGTGCTTAGTTAAAATGAGAAAGGCAGCCGGGCTAGGTGGCTCAGCCTGTAATCCCGCGCCTTTGGGAGGCTGAGGTGAGTGGATTGCCTGAGCCCGCGGGTTCGAGACCTGCCTGGGCAGCGAGACCTCATCTCTACAATAAATCAAAAAATCAGCCGGGCGTGGTAGCGCGCATGCCTGTAATTCTGGCTACTTGGAAGGCTGAGGAGGAAGGATCACCGGAGCCCAGCAGGTTGAGGCTACGGTGGCCGGGAGTGGCCACTGCACTCCAGTCTGGGAGACAGAGTGAGACTCCAACTCAAAAAGAAGAAAAAAAAATGAGAAAGGCATTAAATTTATGGGTAGAAGACAAGAATAGAAATGTGTCCTGGTTGATAGCAGTTGGGTTCAGCACTATCTATTGTTTCAGGCATCCAATGGAGGTCTTGAACTCCCCCCCTCAAAGGATAAGGGGAGACTACTGTAATTTAATGAGGACTTTTAGTGCTTCTGTATTCTGCATTATATCTTCTTCCACTCAGGCTTTCATTATTTCAAGAGGAAGAAAAATTTAACAACAAATGAGTATGTATTTTTCAAATTTGAATATACATTTCTCAATCTGAAAGTGTTCAATACAAAAGAGTAATGGAAGGAAGAAAACTAGACAAAAATTATTTTCTTTCAAGCATTTTAGTTAAATAGATGGTGCTTTAAGAAGACAAATACCCACTTGTTTTGGAAAGTTTAAAGGGAACTAGAGAAAGGGGGCAAATTAATAAACTCTAGACACTTCCTTAGGATCAATGACTATTAGAAAATAACATTTCTATGTCAGTTCTCCTCTGCTGACACTAGTACAACTGTGATCAACTACATGAAATCAAGTATGGATTTATCTCAATGAACAGGTGAGAGTCAAGGTATACTGAGGTGTGGTACAGGTGGCGAGTATTAATTATAATTTTCTTTCATAACTTCTTGAAAACATGTGAAGAGAACAAAGACATACCTAGAAATTCTGCTACATTAGCTAAGTAAGCCTCACTGAGTAGAAATGAAAGCCCCATGAGGTGGTGTGCTTGCCCATAAATGCAGTAAGTGGAGAAGTCAAGGCCAGATAATTACCACAGGAGTTTCCAGCCATTTCTGGGTATCTCCAATAATCCCAAGTAAGGACTTTCAAAAGCAAAATAACTTCAACTCATATTTTAAACTACATATAGCGTAGTGATCATGGACAAGCCAATTCCACTATCAGGGCCCATTAAATGAACTAGAAAATAATCACCTAAAACTCTCTTCAACGACTGTGTGACATTATAATTCTAAGTAGAGTATACTTAAGTACAATGAATTGCCTAAGATGGTCCAAGTAAAAGACACTTTCTCCAACAATTAGACAGTGTGCACTAAATTTAGACTTGGAAACTATGAGCACCATACAAAAATTATGGGAGAATGGGTAGAGTATGAATATGCTGGGTTGGGCAAATGGGAAACGGAGATTCTCAAAAGCCAAGAGACATTCATCTATCCATTCAGTCATTAAACAAATATGCACACAGAGTGTTAGAAAGCATTATATTAGGGTTTAGGTATATAATAATTACAAGAAACAAAATTTGTGCTCTCATAAATCTTTCATTCTAGCAGGGGGACAGAAAATAAGTACAATAAGTCCCCTACATATGAACACTCAAGTTACAAACTTTAAAGATGCACACCTGCATTTTTTAAATTTATTATGTACCTCTACCACATGTCAGTATAGCCTGTTAAATACATACAGTACTAT